ACAATCAACAGTTCTTACCAATTACTCGTGGGCATGTGTCAGATGAAATCTGAATCAGATCAAACTAGATTTGAAAAAAAAATGAAAGTCATCAGCCGTGTAATTTTGTATTTCAAAAGACTAAAATAAATATCTGCTATACTATTTATTCAGTTTTTAATATGCAAAAAATATCTTTTATACAGAATGAAATTTTGTTTTACTAAAAAAATGTTAATTTAAACTTTAACCTATTATCAGTAATTCAAAAAACAAATAGACATATTTTCCTTCCATTCAAAATAAAGAGATGATTCCATATGTTATTAGCTTGGTTATTAGATTTATATTGTTAATTATAACATAATAATACTAAATATTATGCTTCCTATACGAACAGGGCCGCTGAGAAGTAAGGGTTGGGGGGGGGGGATGGGCCAAAGGGACAGTTTGTCCCGGGCGGCATATATCCAAGGGAAGCCAAATGAAAAGAAGGTACCTAAAAAAAAAAAAGTTCCTTAATCTATAATATAGGGAAATTTTGATAGATTAGGATGCCAATCAGGGTTGCTATCCCAGACGACGTGACACCTCTCGGCGGCCCTGTATACGAATCAAAAATTTGCTTACTGCGTCCTATAAGAATCCTAAGTTAGTTATGCAAGATCTTTTAAAAATTTTTTGTAGATCTTACCTTCTACTATGAGAATTTCTTAAAATCCTACAAGATCTTTCAAAAAGATTCTTGTAGGTCCTGCAGGGACTTGTGCAACTCATCCTAAAGGATTCTTGTAGGATCTGTAAGATCAATAGTTTAGTGGAGTTTCTTTAAATCAGTTTTGTTAATTTTAAAATTATCATTACTGCTTAAAATTGAATTAACAGCAATATCGATGGTTTCTCGAAGAGGTAGATTAGTGTATAGGCTTGTGACGTCGTAAGATACTAAATATTTTCCATAAATGTTAGCTTGATTCACATCTTTTACGAAACTAAATGAATCTTTTGTACAAAACTTTGAAGGTGTTATAGGTGACAGTAAATCTCTTAAAAACTTATTTAAATGATAATTGTAGGTGGCGATTAACGAAATGATAGGTCTGAAACATAAATTCGGATTTTCAGTACATAACTTATGCAGTTTTGGAAGACCCTAAATACGAACAGGTTGTGAACCAGAAGGATAACGTTTGTTATATATTACATCATCGAAAAAATCTTTATATTTTAAGTTTCTTAAAAAGTTATGAATCTGTGTTTCTCTACTAATAGTAACATTTTCATTGAGTAATTTAAACTTAGTTTGATTGTTTATTATTTTGTATATCATATGTTTTTCTGTCTAGAATGACAACACCATTTCCTTTGTCTGGTTTTAATATGATAATGTCTAAGTTATTTCGTAACTTTTTTATTATTCCATGCTATAATAATGTTTTTTTTAGACGGATGATAGTTATGCCAATAAGAAGTGGCTAAGAAAGTTTAGTTTTGAGTGTACCTGAATCTTCCTTATTTTTCAAGTTACTCTAAAGTAATTGGTTAATTAGCTGAAAAGATGTGTTAAGCGTGATTAATACGTTTTGTTGGAAGAGAAAAACTTAAACCATTTTTATTAATATCTGTTTCTTCATTAGAGAGCTTATAAGAAGAGAGATTTGTAATTATATTCGAAAATTTAAAGGGACTAACGTTACCGTTCGTTAAACTTTTTAATGTTTGACGTACAACTGTATTCATAATTGATACTAATCAAACCCATACAGATTTTATTAATTAGACTCGAGCTGTTCATCTTATTTTAGATAAGTTTCAAGTTGTAAAAAGTTTATAACCAATGATTAACTTTTTTGTAAATGTTATTATATATTTTCGTAATGGTCGCTTGAACGACAATTGTATAAGTAAAACGTTAAGAAACCGTTAAAAAAACGTTTTATTAGGAGTTTTTTTATCATTTGATTTAATATTTTACAGGACCTTCAAAAAACGTTTTTTTACGACTGTAAAAAAACTTTTTTATAGTATCAGTTCTTTAGAATTTGCTTCCTTCATTTTGCTTTCCTGATTTGCAATCTGCAAGTCGTCCATTAATTGTTATCTTGCTCTATAAATTTCATCTTTTCTCTTCAGTAACTTCCAACTTTAAAAGTGGTTGCTTGCAGCCTCGTTGGAAGCGATGTTAAAAAAAAAGTCTATATAAATGATTGGAAGCAAGTCCTGATGTTACAGTGCAAAAAGTTGCCAAATGTAAGTTTATCTATTTTTATTCAATATTTTATGCTAAATAAAACCAGATAAATCTTTTCAAAAAGTTTAAATTTGTTTATGTGTACGTATTTTTAACAAGTTAGTAAATAATACATAAAACATTTCTTCATCAAGTAAAAAAGACTTCCAGAGAAGCATCGCTGCACTTTATAGTTATGACGAACTGCCATCAAGTTTTAAGCCTTTTAATGGAGCACGTATGTTAGAAAATTTTTAAAAAAATCATAAAAACAAATTTATTGTGTAGAGTAATTAAAAATAATTTTTAAATAAGTGTGGTGTGCATGTCGTTTATATTGTTTCTTTTATATACTGTGTGAAATTTTATATCACTTTTTTCTTATTATTATTTGATGCATTTTTTTGCATGCTAGTGAAATGCATGAAAGATTTCTATGGTATTTTTCTTTTCAGGAACATTAATGACACATTTCAATTTTGTCAATAAGGCGATCGTTTGAAGAGAGCTCTAATAGAATAACATAAAAATTATTTTATTATGTTTTTGTATGCTTAAATTATAAATAAACACAAAATGTTTAAACTTTTAGTTATTTATCCTGATCTAGACTGTTAGACTTTATGTGTTTAGTTTTTATGTGTAAAAAGGTTGTTTTTTTTTCTGTATGACATAAGTTATTTAGTTAAATAACTTATACGTAAAAAAAGGTTTTTAGGAACAACGTTAAAAACGCTAAAACGTTCCCTTAAACTTAATAAAAACTAATAAAAAATGTTTTTAAAAAAACGTCCGTTCACCGCTTCATATGGAGGTTCTAAAAAACAAAACAAAAAATTTTTTTTGAAGGATCCTTAAAAAACGTTCACAAAACGTTTTCAAAAAAAAAACGTCCGTTCACCGTTTCATATTGACGTTTAAAAAACTAATAAAAAAACGTTTTTACTGGACCGTTTGCAAAACGTTCTTGTGTCCACTAGATTAAATCGGTCTAAAACGAGAACGTCATAAATTGGTCGAAAAAAAAACAAACAATAATCGGTTGAAAATAAATTATGCTTCAGTAGGATATCGGAGAATAACTTTTACTTTTTAGTAGATGCTTTTTTTTGTAGATCAGTTTAGTAGGTCGAAATTTTTGTAGATTAAACTATGTGACACGGAGAAATAGAGGCGTAATTTAAAACGGAAAAACTTAAACAAATTTTAAACTGTTCTTAACATTACAGGTAGTTATAATGTCCTTCTTTTTTGCTTATTTTTGTTACATTTATTTTTATTTAGGTATAAAAACAATTTTCTTGTATAAAGTAATTAATTTTAGCCTGAATGTATACAATTTATTTCAAAAAAAAAAATTTAATAAAAAGTTATTGCTAAAACTAACCACAAAAAAAACCTGTTTTATAGCCAAAATTAGACTTCCTGGTACATTATTTGAGCTATGCTTTTTCAGGGTGATCATTTCCCCGGTATTATACATGGTTAGATCATGGCAAAAAAAAAGGTTAGAACTGATTTAAAATTAACTTTCAAAAATAATTGAGTCAATTATTTTTGTCAATAATTGAGTCAATTATTTTAAATGGGGGAAAGGGGATTCACAAACACCCTTCACGCTAGCCTTACGTGTCAAATTGACACGTAAGGCTGGCGTGAAGGATGTTTGTGAATCCCCCTTCCCCCATTTAATAAATGTTTGCACTATTAATCGGCAAATTTGAACCATTTTGTAGCCTCAGTCGGCAAATTGAAACCTTTTTTATAAATACTCTTTTAAAATTAGTCCACAAATCGAAGAATTTCAAGCAAGCCATTTTTTTGTCGTAAGACACCACCCCATTTGACACCTACATGCGCCGACCATGTTAACACGGTTGCACTAAGAGGCAAATTAATCACACCTTTTTATAATTGATTTAACAAAAAAAAAAAAAAAAAAAAAATTGAGCATAGGAATATTTGAATAATAAAAGCAACAAATTGTTAAACTTAAAAATTAAAAAGTTAAATTAAAAACAAATCAATAGAACACAACAATACTAAAAACTTGAATATTTTTTTTATTAATCATTTTTTATAAATAATTAAAGCTTGATTATTGTTTACTTATATTCAACAGGGATGGTAGGGTGCTACAACCAATTTAGGTATTGTTTTACTTTTTTTTTAACCCTTTAGTGTGTAACCCTTTTAATTCTTGTACGTGTAAACAAAAAAACAAACAAAAAAAAATTATATAAAAGACAGTAGTAAACACGCTAAAAATATTTTAAATGGTATCATCATATTAAGAAAAAATATCAATGCATGGTTGCATATTATAAAGATTTTATAAAGTTAATTGACACTTCAAAAAACTTTACTTCATAGTTTGATTACAGGAAGCTGAGAGCCGGAGTTTTTTAAAAAAGTATTTTTATAATTTATAATTTTGATAAAATTTGTTTTTATATATGTAAAAATAAATGTTGTTTTTTAGTAAACTTGATTGGTTTAATTCCTCAATTTCACCCCTCGTCAAATTAAATAACTTTTTTACTAGTTAATCCTAACAATCTCTCTTTAAAAGTAATAGAGGTAACCATAGTTAAGCCCTCTCACTTCAAAATTATTAGAGGCATTTTCAACTATAGTTGTTCTTTTTTTAATGTTTTTATAAAAAAATTTAGCAGGTTTTCATTTCAAATGAACGGAAAACACAGCTGATAACTTATAATGTAGTTAATAACATTATTATGTAATTATAATGTAATTAACGACATGTTAATGATAAATATAATGTACATACCGCTAGCGATTAATAAAACCAAATAAACTGTGAACCTCTTAGACATTTTATACTCTTCTCCAAATTCTACTCTTTAAATAAAAATTGTCTATTCATTATATATATATATATATATATATATATATATATATATATATATATATATATATATATATATATATATATATATATATATATATACATACATATATATATATATATACATATACATATATATATATATATATATATATATATATATATATATATATATATATATATATATATATATATATATACATATATATATATATATATATATATATATATATATATATATATATATATATATATATATATATATATATATATATATATATATATATATATTATTATTATTATTATTATTATTAGTATTATTATTTAAATGACTAAAACTATTTCTGTTAAAATGACTAACTACATGTCGTTAAAAAAGTACATATATTAAAATAACGTATATAATGAGCAAGTAAACCAGAAAAATAATATATAGACAAACAACAGACGACAACCAAAAACGCAACTAAACAAAGAAATAAAATATGGAAATCAAAAAATACATGAATACATACAAATTTTCTTTGCTTTATTTTTCCTTTTTTTTTGTTCGAGAAATTGCTTTTATTCTCTTCTTTAAAATTCTTTTCTTTTTTTCGAATTTAATTTTTAATTTTTTTTTTTTTAAAATTATTTATATATATATATATATATATATATATATATATATATATATATATATATATATATATATATATATATATATATATATATACATATATATATATATATATATATATATATATATATATATATATATATATATATATATATATATATATATATATATATATATATTGAATGTCTGATATTAAAACTTCAAGAATCTAATAAATAAAAATAGTTGTAACAAAAAGCTTTTCAATGCATGGACTAGAGCACATCAAACCAAAATCACAATCGCAAAATGAATGCAACATCTTTTGGAATTCGATAATAAATGATCCTGATTTTCAAAATAAATGGCAATTTAAGATTCTGGAGCTTCAAGAAACAAAAAATAATTCAAAAAAAGAACTATATCAAGCTGCTTCAAACCCATCAATAGTTCAAAACCAACATCTTTCAATGACCATTCAGCGTTGTTAACTTCATCAGTTCCAGTTTCTCAAGCAAATAGTTCCACCTTTCAAATATCTCAAATTTCAAGTACTGTGTCATCACATAATCAACACACTCTCCGACGAAAACAAGACGTTTTGACCAAAAAGCTACTAATTGTGGAGTTAGAAATTATTACGCTTTTGTTTCGAAAAAAATGCGGGGTTTTCTCTCAGATTTATAACTCAAAAACGAAAAATTTGGAAAAAGAAAAAATAAGTATCAAAAAAGAATTAAAATCACTTGAGGATAATCGTAAACGATAGAAAGAATCCCGAGAAAGTAAGAAAAAAGTATTGGCTGAGACCTTAAAAAATTATCCCGAGATTGCCTCTAAATTAGGAATTCATGAAAAGGCTGGACGCCCTTCTGTAATTGAAAGTCAAGCGGAATTACTATCAACAATTATTCAGATAGCCACTTACGGCGCTGAAAAGCGAAGATGTGAGACATTAAGAAAAGTTAAATCTCTTGATGAGTCAACAGAAGCTTTGCAAAATGAAGGGTTTACAATTGGCAAATCAAAAGTCTATTATCATCTTGCACCAAAAATTCTCACACAATAGATGGAAAGAACCCACAGCTTATTTTCACGCAAGAGATTTTGCAAAATTATATTCTCTCATTCCTTTATGTTATTGCCCTCTTATTGAGTCACATTTTTCAGTTGACAAGACATATCGCTTTACATCTCTTTTTCAATCTCTACATCTTGTTGCAAAAAATAATCCGTTTGACCAACACTGTCCAAGTATCAAAAAAATCCTTCAAAGTAGAGTGTGCAAAAAGTGTAACATTTATTTTGGACCGTTAACTATGCTTAATAATCATGAAATAGTCCATCCGAAAGAAAATAAAGTTCAAAAACCAAAAGCCAAGATAAAGAAGACTATTCAAAAGAAAATGCACAACTTGTTTTCTTAGAAGGTGATAGAGGCTTTAAAGCAGAAGAAAGGGTAGATAAAAATATTTTACAAGTAGAAGAATCAAACATTATTGATTTTTTTATAGAAGCGCTGGGTTGTGAACAAGAACAATCAATTCCAATTTTTCTATTGCAGAACATCTTGATCCTGTTTTGGAAAAAATTAAGTAGTAATAAAAATTTTATCTGAAGAATGCTTGTTGTTTTTTTATAAATAAAAAAAAAAAAAAAAGATAAAAGTTTTAGTGTGACGTGACAAAAGGAAGGGGGTTAATATTTTGTGACAAGGGCCCCCCTTTCCTAAAAATTGTTTTTTTAGTGACAGTTTGCGAATAACCCCTTATTTATATAAAAAAAAAGTTAAAAAGTCGTAAAAATAAAGTTAAAAAAGTCGCCTTCAGTGATGCCACTGCATTGATAATACATTTGTATATTTAGGCTTTGTATATTTAATACATTAGTATATTTAAGATAATTTTAAAGCTATAAAAATTGAAGAACTTGATCAAATCATTCGTGACGCCACATATTTCCCAACCCCCTCCCCCCATGTCACAGCTTGTCACAAAATCTATGACCCCTCCTTAAACTCGTGAAGGTCCCCTAAAAATTTCTGAAGTTTTTAATAATATTTGAATATCCACTTTATTTTTTTTAGATGCTTTTTTACTTTGATTAAAGTTTGGAAATGTTGTCTGAACAAAGAATTAACTTTAAAAGTTATAAGTGCTTTATGAAATTTTTATAATTATTTATTCCAAACAGGAACAATACCCATTATTGATAAATCTACTAGAATAACAAATCACACGTCCTCTTTAATTGACAACATTCTAACCAATGACATTTTTAATACAACGCTTAAAAAAGGCATCGTAAAAACTGATGTTTCTGACCATTTTCCTATTTTTTTCTGCATAAGCGCAAACAGCAAACCAAGTATGCCTGGAAAGGTAACAGTAAAAAAACGTGTTTACAACAACACTAACCTAAATTTATTTAAAGAACAACTTTTGTAGCAAGACTGGAGCTATATAAATTTCAATGACGATTTAAACCTCATCTATAACTCTTTTTTTAAAACTTTTTATAAAACCTACAACGCAAACTTTCCATTGCGTGAAACAATTCTTAACGCCGAAGACCTATCTTGTCCTTGAATAACTAAAGGAATTAAAAAGTCCTCAAAAATAAAGCAAAAACTCTATGTTAAGTATCAAATAAATTATTTCAAATAAATTAACTCTATGTTAATTTATTTGAAAAACTCCGCAAAAAATCTATGCCGGCTGCAATAAAAATTAAAAATAAAATAGTTAATGATTCGAAGGAAATTGCCACCGAATTTAACAAGTTTTTTTCAACAATAGGACAATATCTATCAAATAAAATTCCTTATGTAGACAATAACTCCGTTGATGAATATATTTTATTAACAAATTCAACTCTGAACTTTTCAAATCTAACATTTAGTGAATTTAAAATAGCATATAAAGCAATAAAAAGAAGTAAAGCAACTGAGCCTGATGATATAAATGGTATCTTTTCCAGATAGCTTGAAAATAGCAAAAATAACTCCAATCTTTAAAACAGGCGACCCTACAAACGTAACAAATTATCATCCTATCTCAGTTCTACCAGTCTTTTCAAAAATATTAGAAAAAATAATGTACAACAGATTGTACACTTATCTTATTGACAATAAACTTCTTTATAAAAATCAGTTTGGTTTTCAAAGAAAAAGTTCTACTGAACACGCTATTCTCTAAGTAACGCGCAGTATTGCCGACTTATTTAAGAATTCTCAATTTACTCTTTTATATTGACAGTACAGTAATAAAAAAGAGAGAGAAATACAAAATTCTTAGGAGTTATAATAGATGAAAACTTATCTTGGAGGCAACAAATTGATAATATTTCAATGAAAATTGCTAAAAGCATTGGAGTTCTATATAAAGTTAAGCATATATTAAATAAACATCAATTAACACAACTATATTACTCACTTATTCATTGCCATTTAAATTATGCAAATATAATATGGGGAAACTTAAGTCTCTCTATCGACATCAGAAACACGCAGCTCGCACAATTAATTTTGCGAATCGTTTTTCAAGCTCAACAGCACTTCTTAAAAAAATGAAAGTTTTGAATATTTACGAACTAAATGTTTTGAATATTTTATGTTTTATTTTAAATGTTAACAAAATATATCACCTAATGTATTTATAAATCTTTATAACTTGAAACATAAAAACAAATATAATCTTCGTGCCAGTAAAGGTATCGAAGAGCCATTTTGCCAAACTAAATTTGACCAGTTTTGTATTTTTTATCGTGGTCCTTCTCTTTGGAATAAAATAATTTTACCTAATTTCGATTTTTCTTTTAAATGGTCTTATTCTTCTTTCAAACGGAAAGTAAAAGAAATTATCTTTTCAACACAAAATATTCATATCTATTTTTAGTATTTAATTTTTTTTTTTTATTTCTTTTGATTTATTCTTTATTTTATTTCTTATATAGACTGTGAAGAGTATTAGAATATTGTATTCTTTTTGTTATATAGATTGTAAAGGGCTTCATTATAAGATCCTGTGATCTTTTAGAAGTCCTGCCGGTAATTATTCAATGTAAATTTACCTTGTACATATTCTGGCAAATAAATAATAATAATAATAATAATAAATAATAATAATGAAAGTAATAACACTATTATAGTATTATTACTTTTATAATGCAGTTAGTAACTAGAGAGTTATAACTTTTGTTGTCGTAAGTTTATCGTTTTGTTTTTTATAACTTTTTCCCTAACAAACATAATAACTTGCTCCTTGAAACTAAAGTGCACGACTTTGCATAAACTAAAATTTCGAAGACCAGATATTTTCCCCGATTTTTTATTTCGCAATCGCTCAATTCAACCTTTTATATATATTTTATTTATATTATAAAACTTTTTTAATT